GGAGCAAATGGGGGGGAGGGGGGAGGGGTTTGTGCGGGGAGAAGGGTGCAACAATGAATGAATGGAATCCCAAAATCTCTGTAGATGTTCACTGAAATGAAAAATAAACAACCTAAATTAAAAAAACAAAAAAAAAACTTTCAAGTGATTTTAATGGACAGTTAAGGGGCTAAGAATCCTAACATGGTTTTTCCTCCATTCCCATTTGCCTGGCTCTACGTCATGCTTGGCTCATCATTAGTATAAAAAGTACACACACACACACACACACACACACACACACACACACACACACTCCTCACAGCCTGGTTCTATTTCATCATAGTGTTAGCACTCACCACTGAACAGCAAGGCCTCACAGCCTGGCTCTACTTCTTGCTGACATCAGTGCTCACCACTGAGTAACAAGTCCTTACAGCTGGACTCTACACTAGCCTTATCATTCAGCAGTGACCACCAAGTCCTCACAGCCTGGCTCTACTTCAAGCTGGCCTTGGCGCTCACCATTGAGTAACAAGTCCTCACAGCCTGACTCTACTTCAAAGTGGCCCTCACTCACCTCTGAGTAATGGCCTGCACTCCTGTCATGTAGAAAAGCGTTCCACCACACCTCTCTCTGGTGAAACCCCGCATACCTCTAGACTTTAATTATCACCTTTCTTCTTCCCCTGACATCTGCCTTAGAGATACTTTTTAAATCTCACACTTGATGGCACTCTCTTCAGATCTCAGAACTTCTCCTTCCCGGCCACAAACATCTGGAGCAGCACCCTCCTGCCTGTACCACAGTGCCTCACTTCCTTCCAATAGCAGAGGTTGTCCACTTGTGTCCTGTATTTCTGTATATAACCTGCCATATCAATACTGTACACTCACATATAACATGCATAGCACACATATAAGGCTAATGAGGGTCCTGAAGGTTGTGAAGTTTACAAACAACAACAACAAAAATATAATACACACACACTTTCTGTGAAGATCATTTATTTGGCAAGTTTCCTGAAAGCAAGTCCCACGTAAGCTGTGTCAACCAGTTTCGTCAGTCCTCACAGGGACAAGCAACCACTCTCTCACTCACTGCCTCTGAATCAGAGATAACACTGGCATTTTTGAGAGGCTGTAAATCACACAGGAGAAAGCTGCCCATCTTTCTCTGCTGGTGCACTGAACTGCTCACCTTTGGAGTGGCAGCACAGTTCCTTAACCACAAGGCTACCAGAGCTCCATAGTCCTTAAAAACACTCCCTTGTTTTAATGACAGAATTAAGAAAATGGAGCTGATAAATCAGCATTTGAGCACAGCATGGTCTATTGGCCCAGTTGTCTCCAGCCTGTACTGCCAGCAGGGCCCCTTTTCCTCACTGCCTGCTGGCACAGGCCCTTCTTCCTCAATTTGCTGGATGATGGGACCCCTCTACCTTGATTTGCCTGCTGGTGTAGCCCCTTCATCCTACCTGCCTGGCAGGCTGCTCTCTTCTCTGCTCCTACTAGCACTCGGCATCCTGAGGCACATTCTCAACTTCCAGAATCGTCTTCATTTAGTCTTCTTTTGACTATGCAAAGTTTTTACAATCACTTACCAAATGTTTCATTTTATTAGTTAAATGTTTAGTGTCTTTCTCTCCTCCCAGAGAAAGCCCATGAGGGCAGGGCCAAGGTTGCCCTTCTCACTACTTTTTACATAGTAGGTGATCCCGGAAGTATTAAAAGAAGATGGAAGGAATATACTGAGTCACTGTATCGAAAAGAATTGGAAGACACAGAAGAATTTCATGAAACAACATAT